TGCATGTTCTCCCTGAGCATGCATGGGTTCTCTCTGGGTACTCCAGCTTCCTCCCACAGTCCAAAAACATGACTGTTAGGATGATTGGCTTCTCTAAATTCTCATTAAGTGTGAGTGTGTGTAAATGGCTGTTTTTCCTGTTTGTCTCTGTGTTGCCCTGTAATAGACTGGCGACCTGGTCCAGGGTGTACCTCGATTCTTGCCCATAGACACCTGGAGATAGGCATCAGCACCCCTCATGACCCCGCTTGGGATAAGCGTGAGGGGGAAAAAATGAATAATTCAGAAGGTTATCTATTTGCAAACCAGAAAGTACCATCTTAGTCACATCTGAAAAGAGCCCCTTTATTCCCCTTTTTGGAAGTGCCCCCTCCATGGTACATGTAAAACTAAAGTAGTTGGGTATTACTTACTTTCTGTATGATCTGTAATTGATTCAAAAATTGCTGGACTCTATAGACATCACTCTTTACAGTTATTTAGTTGTACAAAAGAAAACTCATATTACCTTTCTCCCACTTAATAACTATGTGCTGTGTTTGTGCTGGTCTTTTTTTAAATCTAAATAAAATTTTCCAATCATAACACGACATCATATGCTGCTTTTAAGAAGAAAGTGAATTAGTCTATAACTGCTCTGTCCTCAAAAAGAAAAGAAAAATGAATAAAAATATCTTAAAGGAGAAAAAAAAAAGCTGGAAAACAATCTTGGCTTGAGGTTTTTAAGGTGGAACCTTTTTAAGAAGGGATTTAAAAAGGACTGATTTTTATGTTCTGGGGAGCGATACAGTCTGCAGGCTGGCTTGTTTTGCTGCTCGTCTATTATACTGCAAAGCAAAGCTGCAGTTGTATGTGCATTGCTCTCCATTATGTTTCTAAAACAATGCAGAGCTTTATTTGATAAAATATGCTCTTTGACTTGTTGCATTTGTTGTTCTTATACCCCCAGCTTAACTATAATTGGAGCATCTATGTAACAAGATGCAAAAGCCTGTTTCTCAAAGATAAATGACCAC